ATCGCCTCAAGAGTTCATGTTCATATAACACAGGTTGATAAGCGCTAATTAGCAACGCTTCCCTGATTGCCAACATCATCGGCTTCCTGTTACATAATAACACCTTGAACACATTATTGGGGTTCACATGGTGACCATTGTCAAGAGGTGTTTGGCGATGGATGATCGACGTGGTCTCCATCGGTTGCCCTTTAGGACCAGTTTTGGCAGATATCTTTCTTGGCTTGATTGAAAGACAAGTTGCTGCCAGTATTGGTGAGGCGAAACTGTACAAACGGTATGTGGATGACATTTTGGTATTCATCAGCAGCGAACATTTTGCGCGACTGTTAACCACGTTGGATTCAATTCACCCCAACCTATCGGTGTCACACGAGATAGAACAACATGGCTGCCTGGCATTTTTGTATATCCTCATCAAGAGACGGGTTGAAGGTACACTGCAGCACACCGTTTACCGCAAGACGACCTTGGAGTGGGCAGTACCTCCACTTTTCCAGTTTCGCTCCGGTTGCATGCGAACTCGGTCTAGTGAAAATGCTTTTCTACAGGGCTAGACGAATATGTAGTCTTGAATTGCTGGAAACTGAAGAAAAGTTTCTGTATAGGACCTTAGTGTCGAATCGTTATCCCGAAAAGTTTATCCAAGTGCACAGCAAACCTCCCAAGAAAAAACTGTCAGTGCAAACAGCAGAGCAAAATCCTGTCTATTTGCTTCTGCCGCTTAAAGGGGCCTATGTGTCAATGATATCGGACACAAGCTCAGGTCCGTCTTAAATCGCACATACGCGACTGCTCAGTTGTGCCTCATGCACACCACCCGGAAACTGATTCTTCATGACCGTCTGAGCTACCCTTCGGTTAGTTAGGCCTCTTATGTGGTTTAGCAATTCACTTGCAGTCGCGGTGATGTGTACATAGGCTAGACTAACCGCCGGATGACTCAGAGGGTGGCTGAGCAGTGGCCAAAGTGGATCGAACAAATGATACCGCAACAAACGGAACGCTCCACAGAACGAATGGGAGTCCGTCATCATCTATCGCCAAACACCTCTTGACAATGGTCACCATGTGAATCCCAATGATGTGTTCGAGGTGTTATTACGTAATAGGAACCCGATAACGTTGGCAATCAGTGAAGCGTTGCTAATTAGCGCTTATCAACCTGTGTTATGTGCACAGAAACTCTTGAGGCGATCAATCAGATTGCCTTAGTCGTGGTTTTGACAGTTTAATTGATGTGCCAATTTTTCCCATGTATATTTATGTCTGTGTTTCTGTTTGTATTGTGTTTGCGACTGAGGAGAACAATCGAAATGTTGACATAGCGCAATCTATGTCTCCTTTCTGCTTTGACGATATCGACAGCTTGTTAGCAGTTCGAAATCCGATATGAGGGGTTAACTGGTTGTACCCCGGTTGGATGGAAATGTCGCTCATGCATGCAGGCTTAAACTGTGCATCTTCCGTTGCTGGAGTTTCCATATGGTGCACATTAATTTCTCCAGCGATAAGAATGCAGCTGTGGGGCTTGTTCAAAGCAATCTGAAGTACGTGATTCAGTTTGGAGTTTGTTTGCAACATACAGTTTGTTGGGTAGTAAATTACGGCTAGTAAACTTGTGTCGTTGTTCTGCCACCGTAGGCGGCCCCAATGCGAATCAGTGGCGCAGATTTCCGTGTGATCAACAATGTCACACCGGAGGTCCGCGTTATAATAAAGAACTGCATCACCACCACTTCCAATTCTATCATTCCGAAGCAGGGACATACCGGGCAAATTGATCTAAGAACCGGTTATCTCAAGATTTAACCAGGTCTCTGTAACAATGACAAGGTCCCGGCTTTGTGAGGGATGGTGTTCTCTAAGTTAGGCTAACTGACTAAGAAAGCCTTGGGCGTTTGTGTACAAAAAGGATAGTGCTTTGGTGCAACCACGGCGTGTAATGCACGTCGGGGAAGCCGGTCAACGGGCATTTGGAGGACATGGCCTAGCCAACGTAAGCCATAAACACTCGAGTGAAGCACCAGTTTTCATGCAAAAGATTAACTAGCGGACCTTAGTATTGCTCACCCGTTGTTCCCACCAGATGGGAGCAATACTCCGCAAGCACCGGTAGTAAACCAGGTCAAACGTTTAAGATGTTAGCCGTGAAAGCGCCAGGTCTCTGATGATACGGCCTTACTACAGCGGTATACACCCTACCTTTCACTGACAGGCTGATATCCCGCCGTCTCCTTAGATTACTAGGGCTTTGGAAATCCACACGGGTCTTGTTGTTGCGTGAAGTAACTTCCTCAGTGATATGACCACCAGAGGTGACAGCTCCCAAGCTGTGAACAAATCCATCATTTCCAATGGTTGTTCGGTGACAGATCGTACCGGAGATGTATCGATCCAATCCTGCAACAGTACTTGCAATTTGAAGGTGCGTAGCACCTGCCGAAGCGTGTAGCGCTACGCGTCAGTCTATCCAATATTCTGCATGGCCACTGGGTGAGACCCCAGCTTTTCAGTCGTTTACCTGGCAGAATTTCCATTCCGGTAGAGTCTGAAAAGCGGTCACCAGTGATTATTTCGATAAAAGGTTCAAGAGGAAAGGAGATATAGGACAGTCTTGGCGAACCCCGCTTGTCGTGTGGAGCTCAGGAGAGAGCTTTCTGTAGACCTTTACACAGCTTCGTAAGTCGTGGTAGGGAGACTTTAGAATGGCAGGGAGTTTGGCTAGCACGACTTTCATGGATAGGCAGTGCCACAAGCTGGCGCGGTGAACAGATGCGAAGGCGTCTTCCAAGACAAGAGAAACCACCATATTCGGTCGTCTGTATGTGTGTAGCTGCTCTAACACTCGCCGAAGAGTAAATGTGCGGGCGATGCAATCAAGACCAGTGATTCGGTTCTCACGATGACTGGTAAATCGTCGGAGAGTGGTACCCGTGAGAAGTTTGGATGCAACGGAAACAGGGCTAATGCCCCGATGATTTTCGCCCAAAGTACGCTGACCATTAATAAAATTAAGCACGAGTTAGCAATCTGCAGGCACCTCTTCAGTGTACCAACTGGTATTAACTAGATAAGCGAGTCCAGTCAACAAAGAGTCATCAGCATCTTACAGCAAAGATAGAAGAAGGTCGTCGGGGTCCAAAAGCCTTGTTCCGTTTCAACAGGAAATGCTCAGGTTGAATCTCTTCCAAAATGGGAGGTGTGATATCTGCTTCTCATGTCGACTCAGGTGATTCGGTAAACGGTGGTGTCGCAGCAGGTCTGCTGGACTGCTCTACAAGATGTTCCGCCTGACGGGCTAGTCGTCGACGCGGAGAGTGAATCAAGTGCCCATCTTTCTCAGCTATTGTCTCGCTAACTGTTGGCTTTCTCAAATCAAAGTTCTGAATGAGCTACAGTAGTGTTGTTACAAGCGTGCAACAGACGAAGCAGGGTTCACGCTGCCGGTGACTCTGGAATCTAGTGGGAATTTCACAAGAAGTCTACGCATTGTGCCGAAGACTCGTTCAGCAGGACAGCAACCGATATATTCTTTCACGATGCTAAGAATACCGAGGAGAATGATCGGTAAACGCTCGGACCATTGAGCTTTCGAGTGCATAGCAGTAAGTGAAGTCTTGAGCTGTAGGTTGAAACGTTCGACTAGCCCGTTAGCCGCGACATGGTAAGCCGTTGTGTGTAGATGCGAACAATCAAGCATGCGATAGAGATCAGGGAACAAAATAGAGCTGAACTGAGGACCTCGATCCGTAGTGACAGTGGCCGGGGTGCCAAACACAGATATCCACGATTTGATGTTCTGGCGACTGTTTCGGCTGAATCATCACCTAGTAGCACTGCAAGAGGTCAACACGGGAATCGATTAACACATGTCAGCAAATAGGTAAATCCGTTGAATGGGTGATGTCTAACAATATCAAGGTGGACATGTTTGAAGTGGGCAGTAGTGATGTATCACTGGATCTTGCTTTTCTGACAGGTGATGAAGTGTTTCGCCCACTGTCGAAGATCCGAGAAGTCAGAAGTAACGATCCGTTATCAGCTTGGTATTGTTCCGTATGTTTGGGTGTGGAATGCCCTGCAAGTGATCAATTAGAACTCCTCGATATTGCTGCAGTCAAACGATCGAGATTTGCCGGTGGACAGATCACGGTAAAATCTGGAATCCGAGTTGAGAAGAGGAAGCAGACATAATTCGATAAACGGATTCATTTTCAGCTTCTGGAACTCGGGATCTGCTTGTTGATGAGCAGTGTTGTCTTACTGGTTGACTGGCTAGCGTGGAACTTATTGTCGGTCAACACGGGACATGGCGTCAGCGACGATGTTACTGGCGGCAGCATGTCGAATATCCATAGTGAAGTGTGATAGTCGACATGACGAGTTTCGCTAAATGTGAAACGCTCGGGTGATAAGTGCGAAGCAAAAGTAAGCGGTTTAGATTTAGTACGAACGGTAACTGGAGGTCCTTTGAGTAGATGTTGGAAACGCTTGATGGCGAAATAAATAACAAAGTTAGTGGCCGAAAGTACTAAATCTCGTTTGGGCAAGTTGTAACTTACGAGA